TCAGCCCAGCTGCACTTGCTCCCAGCTCTCCCTGATCTTAGTGTCCTCTGCTTAGCCACGTTGGTCACCGTGGTGTGGTTACCTTTCTTTGTGAGCTTGCTGGGACAGCTTTGTTCTGTCTCCAGTTCCCCATCTCCAGGGTCCATGAGGGTGCGGACTCGTGTGCCTTACTCCCTGAACCCCCCTTCCCAGCAGCCTTTACACCTGATAGGTGTTCCGCATGCATTTTCAACACATGATGCTACTCTGTACCAGGGCAAATGTAAAGGAGCAGAAAGTGTGGGCTTTGGAAACAGACCTGGGTCAGAACTGCTGGTGTCTAGGTGGGTAGCGTGACTTGTGGGTGACACTCTTTGGGCCTCAACTTCTTTGTCGGTAAAGTTAAAGGGGATAATGAGCACCTCTCTCGGGGCCGCTGTAAAGATGAAAGGAGATCTTCAATCCAGTCCTGGTACACAGCTGGCCCTGGAACAGGACTTCCTATCTGTGTGAACTTCTGAACTTCATTTGGATGGCTTGTAGAAGTTGGGAAATCAGTCTACATGATTTCATGGGAAGTGAGATTTTATACTCCTGTGTGAAGACTCAGGACTGGTCCTGAGCAGCCCTGAGCCCCTTGCCCAGTTCAGCCACTACCTGGTTGTGTGACACAAGGTCAGAGTGAGGCCAATCCTCCATGTCTTAATGTGGAAGGTCATAAGTTTGGACACAGTTAAAACCTCTGTTTTGCAGGCTCTGCCCTTAACTGCTTTTGGCTCTCCTTCATACTGCGTTATTATTTGCTTATTACCCTTTGTGTAAAAGTTGACTTTAAAAGAAAACTTTCTGTCACTACTGTCAATACCATATGTTGGAGGTAATAACAACCAGGAGAATGAAAACAAAACAGTGTTAATAGAATTCTTGCCAAATCCTGCTACCTGCCCAGGCTCAGTGTCTGAAGCATTTAAAGGCTTCGGGAAGAAGGGAAATGAACACATGCTGGAGAGATGGTAACAACATAGTAGCACTCAGATGAGACATTCTGCGCTCTCTCGAAGTCCATGGAGTTGAAGGGGCACAAGCCAGGGGTGCTTGGTGGCTCAGTGGGTTAACCCTCTGCCTTTGGCTTAGGTCATGATCCCAGTGTCCTGGGATCGAGCCCCGCATCGGGCTCTCTGCTCAGCAATGAGCCTGCTTCCCTGCTCTCTCTCTGCCTGCCTCTCTGCCTGCTTGTGATCTCTATCTGTCAAGTAAATAAATAAAATCTTAAAAAAAGGGCACAAGTGAGTCAGTGTCCTTTAGCGCTGTGTGTTGGGGGTGGCACTTGGCCATGGGGGGGTGTACCCCTGGCACCCATTCCTCACTTTAGAAAACACTGGCCTGGATCCTAGACCTGAAATGGACATTAGAGAGCATTGCCCCACCTGTCATTTAGTAGATGAATGAGCTGGGACAGGTGTGGAAATGGCTGTCCATGCCCTTGACCCTGACAGTGAAAGATCCATTCCAGGATCTGCTCGGGCAGTGGCAGAAAAACCCCTGAAATGTGGAGGGCTCCACCAGTGGGGCCTGGAACCCCAGCCAGTGTAAAAACTGCCTGCGTGGACTGTAGCCAGTACTTTTATTTTAAGCTCAGTCTGATATCTGTGAGTGTTTTTGGACTGGCTCTCAGCAGGGCCCTTTAAAAAAAAAAAAAAGAACAGGGTTTGTCACTTAACAATAGCCTCCAGTCCCTTTAGAAACACTCCGGTTCCTCCAGAACACTTGGTTTGCTCTATCTGATTCTGTTCCTTCATGTCAGTCAGAAGTGGTAACATGTGTCATGAGCACAGCTAGTACCATTTCAGAGCCAAAAAGGAATTTAGGTGTGGATTATATACTTATTTGGGGGTGGGGGGATCAGCTTTTTTTGAAACATAATTAATATACAAAAACCACTGGACCTACTTAATGTATATAATTTGATGGGCTTGGAGATAAGAGTATACCCATGAAACCACTACAACTCAAGGTGATAAAAATCTTTGATAAAGGGGCACCTGGGTGGCTTAGTGGTTTAAGGGTCCTGGGTTCGAGCCCCACATCAGGCTCTCTGCTCAGCAGGGAGCCTGTTTCCTCTCTCTCTCTGCCTGCCTCTCTGCCTACTTGTGATCTCTGTCAAGTAAATAAATAAAATCTTTTTAAAAAATCTTTGATTAAAAACAAAAATAAAAAATAAGAAAGTTAATAAAAACAACAAGAAAATAAACATTTATTTCTTAAATAGAAAGTTCTGCCTGGCGCCCCCCCCCCCACCCATTTTTGGTGGCAGTAACACTCTGTCCTATCAGCTCTGGGATTGTCCTATGTGGCCTTTGTTATGTTGATGTGGATTATACTTCTGGAGGTTTTATAAACAGCCTCGGAAAAAAGGCAGCAAGGAAAATGTTTGGTTCAGCATAAAATACTTGGTTGGGCATGAAGATTTTACTAGATTGTCAAAGAGATTAAAAAAATAGTGTTTTAAGTTCTGATCCCCCAAAACAAAAACAGATTACTATGTAAATTATTTAGAAAGAACAGGACAAGGCCTCGAAGGCACTAGAATCTTTTTGTTTTTGTCCTTGCTAGGTTTGTCCTTGAATTAAATTCCATGCTTCTCAGAGTGCCTGGGCAGCTCAGTTGGTTAAGCATCTGCCTTTGGCTCAGGTCACGATCATGGGGTCTTGGGATCAAGCCCCAGGTCCCTTGGGCTCCCTGCTCAGCAGGGAGTCTGTTTCTCCCTCTGTCTCTCCCTCTCCCCCTGCTCATCATACTCTGTCTCTCAAATAAATAAAATCTTAAAAAAAAAAAAACAAAACTTAAATTCCATCCTCCTTTCTTCTGTCCTGATCACCTTCCCTTATCACCTTATGAATGGATAGACTAAGCTAGTGCATCTCAACTTTGGCTATAAATTAGATTACTTGGAAGATTTAAGAATCCTGAGTCCAAGGCCACCCCACAGACCAGTGATATCTGTGTCCCTGGAGTAGGATCCAGCGTAGGTAGTTTCTAAAGCTCCACAGGGACCGACAGCATTGAGAACGGTACAGCCGTCCAGAACTTTCCGGTGCCTTCCTCCCTCACAAGAAAGAATAGCATAAGCTATTGCACATATCAAAGCTCTGTGGCTTTACCTGTGAAATTCTTACTCTATGCCGGCAAGACAGTTTGTAGCTAAATACATATTATTCATCCCGTTCTCCTCCTGAGAATTGTAGAAAAAAGGCCAAGAGGGGTGCCTGGGTGGCTCAATGGGGTAAGTGTCTGCCTTCGGCTCAGGTCATGATCTCTGGGTCCTGGGATCGAGCCCCACATTGGGCTCCATGCTTGGCTAGGAGTCTGCTGCTCTCTCTTCTGCTCCTCCCTTCCCCACCCCTAGCTTGTGCTCTCTCTCAAATAAATACAGAAGATCTTTAAGGAAAAAAAAAAAAAAAAGGAGAGGCCAATGTTCTTCCCAAGATCACTATCACCTTAATTGTAATCTGGGAAACAGCTGCTCACAGACTCCCAGGGAGGTAACAGCTCAGGCTCACAGTGTTCTTGGCATTGAGTTACGCAACTCACAAGGTCACAGAGAGCAAGTGTGATTCTGGGGAGGTGAGCAAAGTGGGGGGCGAGGGGGAAGCCACTAGGCACTAGGAATCCAAATCTAGTAAATCAAGCAGGAAAATAAGCCAGAACCACCAGATCCCTCCCCCGTGATCTTACCAGAACATATTTGCTTCTCTGTTTACAAAGCCTTCTTGGGGGGGAAGCCAAGCATCTGCAACCAAAGGCAAACCTGTAGCGTCTGTTGAAATGAGCTAGTTCAGAAAATTCAAATGAATATTAGAACTGTTAAACGTTAAGCCCATCAGACCATGCTGTGTATCCTTTGGGATTCACTGGTGCAGAAAATGACATGACCCAAATAAGGGGGGAGAACTCCCATTACATTACATGTCAGGTCATCAGGGTCTGGCTCTGCCTCTTCCCTGGTTTCACCAGGAACTTCACTCAATCACCCATTTGCTCATTTATCTCCCATTATCACATACTTGCCACGAACCCACTGGGCCCAATGCATTGGACTAGATGCCGTGCCGGTGAGCCAGGAGAGCAAAGGCAGTGCGTTCTTTGCACTCCAAAGCTTACTTAACCCCTCAGGGAGGTGAAGGAGGTAAGAGGAATTGCTTCCCAGTTGTATAAGAAACAAAGTATTTCTTCATTCAGAGTCACCCCGGGCCCAGTTAGCATTCCATGGCCCAGGAACGTGTCTACTATGGTGGCCCTGGCCCCAGCCCCAGCCCATCTGCCCTTGTCCAGGGGACTGGCGTTAACTAGTTGGAGTGCATGATCTTTCCCTGTAGCAAAGCCTGTGGGACACTGATTAGTTACCAGAATGTGTCTGGTGAACAGAGATGCAAGAGAAACGGAGCCTGTGGGAGGCTAGAGGCCAGCTGGGTCATACCAAATACCCAGACAGCTGAGCCCTGGCACCCTCGCTCTGCTCCTTTTCTGGAACTTGGAGTCTTGTCTTCCCATTACGAATGCAGCTCTGTTGCAGTTCACTGGAACACAGTTTATCCTGTGGTAACTACATTTTAATCTCTGTGATGGATTTGAAATATAGCCTGGTTGCCTCGGAGGCTTAAGAGGACCCGCCAAGTATTACTTTCATGTTTTATATCTTTTAGGTGGGTTTCTTTTCTACCTGGAGTACTTCTCTTCCAGGATAGGTTGATGTTTACTAGTTTCCAGAGGTGGTGGTTTTGACCTTGTACCAAAATCCTGATCTCGGCAGGGCAAGGCGGGGGTGTGTGTGTGTGTGTTCTTTCCAGGTGAAAACTAAGCTTTCAAATGGCCTGTGGCTGATAACGACGTCTCATCTGAATTACAAGCCCAGTGCTTGAATCAGAATCAGAACTTGTTTCTTCTGTATTAGAGTCAAATGCTTTTCTCTTCTGCCCAAGTGAGTTTAATTTTTTTCTTCTTTTCCGTTGTTTCTTTCGTAGGGGTTCAGCTGTGGCAAAAATAATTGGTAATAATGTCAAGAAACTTAAGAAGTTTGCCTCCACTGTTAAGATGTGGGTCTTTGAAGAAACAGTTAACGGGAGAAAACTGACAGACATCATAAATAATGACCATGAAAATGTAAAATATCTCCCTGGACACAAGCTGCCAGAAAATGTGGTAAGACTTTGGGATGGAAAGTACTTCTGGTTAATTCTGAAAGTTAACGCTTGGCCGAGTTAGCACATGGGGCTTGGGGAAATGGGAAAGCTACTTCCCTCTTCCTTTGTCCCTGTCTGCTACCAGCTAGTTTGCTTGGTTGGTTTTGGTTTTCCTGACTCTTAAAATGGGCTTTGTATTATTTTGCTAGGGCTGCCATAACAAAGTATGATAGAATAGGTGGCTTAAATAACAGAGATTTGTTTTCTCATAGTTCTGGAAGCTTCAGTTCCAAGGTGAGGGTGTCAGCAGGTTTGGTTTCTTCTGAGGCTCTCTCTTGTAGATGGCTGTCTTCTTCCTGTGTCCTCACGCTCCTGTGTTTGTCTTCTGCCCCTACTCTTCCTTTTTAAAAAATGTATATATGTATATAGATTTACTCATTTGAGAGAGACTGTGCATGTAGGAGTTGGGGGAGGGGTAGAGGGAGAAGTAGACTCCCCGATAAGCAGGGAGCCAGACTCGGGGCTTGGTCCCATTACACAGAAATAATGACCTGTGCTGAAGGCAGATGCTTACTTAACTGACTGAGCCACCCAGGTGCCCCAGTCTGCTCTCATGACAGGAATCCTATTGAATTAGGGCCCACCCTAATGTCCTCATTTTAATGCAGTTACCTCTGTAAAGACCCTGTCTCCAAATAATAGTCTTATTCCAAGGTACTAGGGTTAGGATAATCAGCTTATGAATTTGGAGTGGGGGGTGCGCGCCACACAATTCATCCCACAGCATGCAGCTTTCTTGGCATTTAAGGTGCTGGAACTCACAACCTTGCCTTCAGCTGCTTGAGACCCCCAGTCCTAATAGTCCCTTTCTAAGTGCATGGACTTTGGTCTGCACATGAGGACAGCTAATGCACTGGTCTGTGATTTAAAATCAGGGTCAAGGCCTAAATTATAGAAGGAGATTGAAGAGAATAGAAGGTCGGAAGACTGACAGTTTAAAATTTAGGCCTATTAGGTCTGAGAGGGAAAAGTACAGGTAATTGCCTGGCCTCTTTCCGGTGACTTGCGGGAGGTGGGTGGGGGGAGAAATGGGCAAGAAGAACAAGAGTGACCATGCCTTTTTGTCTCAGTGGAATTTGAACTTCTATTGCCAGATTTCACCCCTTGCTGGCTTTCTGTAATAGTCTGAAGACCAGACCATTGTGGTCTAATTCCCTGCCTGCTGCCCTGGTTAACCAGACAAGCTTGTCTTCTTTGTTCATGAAGTAGTCATCTCTGCATATATTCACTCATCGGCCTTCGTGAGCATGTACAGTGCATGCAAAGCACATTGTTGCTAGAAACAAGAAGAGGAATAGGATGACGTCGCTTCCTTCAAGGAGGCCAGCAGGAGAGATGGATTTGTAAACTGACAAACGCCAGGAAGTCCGGATTTGCAAAGACCTTGCTTGCTGGAGGTTGCTCTTTGGTTTTTGGTTATAGTGTTCATTAGTATCAAGCAGTGTGCTAAGTAGCTCGCATACCATGTCTCGGGTAATGCTCTCAGTAACCCTCTTAGGTTGATATTACTGGTTTTCCTGTTAAGAGAGTGGTTTTGATTTTGTAGGGAAGGATGCTTAGGAAGGATGTGTAGAGAAGGATGCTCAAGAGAAGTTAATGGACTTGGCGCAGGGCCACATAGCTAGAGGCTGGGCTTTAAATTTGATTCCTGGTAGACTCATCCCATGGAATCCATTGTCTTCTAGACAATGATCACTTTCTCCTCTGTGTCCCTACACTGAGGGGTCAGGCAGCATTTCTGCACAGTCATTCTCGGCATTGTTGGTGGGTAGAGAAAGGATCCCTATGGTTCTGAGCTTAGAAGTGAGTTGTCCAAATATCAGAGGGGAAGAACAAAGGGAGTGGCTGTTCCCACCGCAGTGGGAGGCTTCTGGGGTCATCTCTGACCCATGCTTGGAGTAGGAAATTCCTGCTTTTCACTTCTCATTGTTGTTGGAATCGACGGCTGCTTCCCTTCCATAAACCACATGCTTTGTTAGTACGTTCCTTCCACTCTGCTTTGTGCCAGTCCCTTATGTACCTAGATGTTTGGCCCCACCTGCCCCGACAGTGTGAACCTGACTTTCTGGTTTTTGGTTCTTCCATGGCTCCTGGTGCAGTGCTCAAGGCGAATGGGGGGGAGGGGAACCTGCCAAGTGGTTCTGTGAAGCCGAAGCTTGTGCCAGGAGCAAGGAATCCAGGACGGAAGGAGTCAGGGAAAGAACTGACCTAGAGGAGCCAACAGCCATTGCCACGCAGAGCCCAGTCCCCACAGTGACTGAGTCTGCCCCCTGCCTGCGGATGCGGACAGAAGGAGGAGAAAAAGGAGGAACCATCTACTCCTGGGACCCTGTTGATGCCTGAAGCCTTTTGGTTCACGAAAGTGAATGTGTCCATTCTCTGGAGTGGACATTTGTTCAGTTTCCAGCTGTTTGCCATTGTGGACCATGTTCCCAGGGGGTGGAATTGCAGAGTCACCGGGAGCGCTCAGCTGTAGTGTCACTACGTCATACCACTGGATTCCAAAGTGGTCCTACCAGTCTCCGTTCCCCCAGCTCGACTGAGGGGTCACATTGTTCCACATGCTTGCCAGTGCTTGGCTGGAGACACCCAGGGTGTTAGAAAGTTCTATTTCTTAAGCCTGGTGGAATGTACACAGGTGGTTTTTTCCCTCTATATTTTTTATAGTTTCTAATGGCACTTACATAATAAAGCGGAGTGATGGTGAAGTGTAGTGGTGGGGGACGCCCTGGGAGTCAGTGCCTGGGTCAGACGGACGGGTTGTTCCTCATGCTGTATTACCCTTAGGCATTTTGTGGGGATTAAATGAGGTGTTCCACATAGTTAGTTTGCTCTGAAGCATTTTTTTTTAAGTTGGGGTTTTGTTTTTGTTTTAAGATTTTATTTATTTATTTATTTGACAGAGATCACAAGTAGGCAGAGAGGCAGCAGAGAGAAAGAGAGGAGGAAGTAGGCTCCCCACTGAGCAGAGAGACCCTGGGATCATGACCTGAGCCGAAGGCAGAGGCTTCAACCCACTGAGCCACCCAGGCGCCCCTTTTTTGTTTTGTTTTATATGTTTATTTCAGTTTTTCAGCTATCTCATTTGATCCTTTAAAAAAATCAACTAGTGTTAGATAAGACCCTTTTGGTTCACGAAAACTAGTTATCTAGTGTTATCTAGTGTTAGATAACCATCGTGAAAGATGGTTAATTGTGAGGTCTGTCAATCAGCGCACTGACGTGAGACTGGGAATCTTTTTTGCTTGGGGGTCCCCACACTGTTTCCCACTGGCCTTCAGGCCCATCCTCATCACATGACCCTCCCCACTCTCACCCCCAACCTCTTGTAACAGGTGACCTCTTGTCACCATGTCATCACCTGTTCACTAGAAGCTGGGACAGTCTGGGTTTGCAGTTTTTATCTGAAACTGAGTGAAAAGAACGCTTCCCGTTTCTTGCCACTGTTGGATATAAAATTGTGGATCCTGTCCTTGGTCTCATCCAGGTAGGGCGCTCCTTTGCCCTCTGGCACCAGGATTTACGATGACAGCATCTTCTGTGAAGTACTGTTGTCATTGATTCTCATCTTGCTTTCTAAGCCTTAGCCGTACCTTTTTAAAAACAACTTCACTGAGGTATGATTCACAGATCATACAATTTGCCCATTTAAGTGTACAGGTCAGTGGTTTTGAGTATATTCAGAGTTGTGCAGACATTACCACCATCAATTTTAGAATATTTTCATCAGCCCAAAAAGAAACCCTACCCCATGTAGGTGTCACTTCCTATTTCCTCCTATCCCCTGTCCCAGTCCCAAGTAACCACTGGTCTTTCTGTTTCAATAGACTTGCCTCTCTGGACATTTCATAAAAATCGCACCATCTAATAGTTTTCTGTGTCTGGCTTCTTTGATTTAAGATCGTGTTTCAAGGTTCCATCCGTGTGTAGTCTGTGTCAGTACTGCATTCCCTTCCATGGCTGAGTAAGATTCTGTTTTACGGATGTACCACACTGTATTTTATCCACTTGTCCATTGATGGACATCTGGGTGGTTTGTGCTTTTCGGCTCTTGGGATTAATACAGCTGTGCACACTTGTATAGTGTTCTGTGCAAACGTGTTTTCAGTTCTTTTGAGCGGGTACCTAGGAGTACCAATTGCTGGATCATATGATAACTGTTAGATCTCTTCGAGGAACTGCCAGGCTATTTTCCAAGATGACTGCACCATTGTACAGCCTGCTTCAGCAGTGTGTGGGGGTTCCAACATGCTCCATAGCCTTACGAATACCTTTGTCATTGTCCAGCTTTTTGATCCTACCCATCCTAGTGGGGAGGAAGTGGTATTTGATTGTGATTTTGGTTTTCATGTGCCTCATGGCTAACCATGTTGAGCATCTTTTCATCTGTTCATTGGACCTTTGTATGTCTTCCTCAGAGAAATGTGTATTCACAGTATTTGTCCATTTAAAAAATTGGGTTGTCTTTTTATTAATGAGTGGTAAGAATTCTTTTTTTCTTTCTCAAAAATTTTATTTTTAAGTAATCTCTACGCTCCGCATAGGGCTTGAACCCATGACCCCGAGATAAGAGTCATATACTGTTCCTACTGAGCCAGTCTGGTGCCCCTAGAATTTTTAATATAGGGGCGCCTGGGTGGCTCAGTGGGCTAAAGCATCTGCTCAGGTCATGATTCCAGGGTCATGGGATCAAGCCCCGTATCAGGCTCTCTGCTCAGCAGGGAGCCTGCCCCCCCCAACCCTGCCTGCCTCTCTGCCGACTTGTGATCTCTGTGTGTCAAATAAATAAGAATCTTTAAAAAAAAAAAAAATCTTAATATTCTCAATATATATTAGATACAAGTCCATTTTCCCAGATAAAGAATTCAGAAGTGTTTTCTGCTTCAAGTTTTTGCTTTCTTAATGTTAATCCTTTGAAGCAGGAAAGCTCCTAAGTTTGAAATAGAATTTGTATATTTC